ATCGCTTGAACATTCTGCAATAGCACTATAATGAATTTCTGGATGAACAATGATTATGGTCAGACAAATTTAAGACTCTTTTTATACAAATTAATCAACCATCATTTAAGCAAGATAAACCGTTTGGGTTTGACCTTTACCTTACACATAATCAAAAATCAAGCTAAAAAGGAATTTATATTAATGATTAGAAATTTATGATCAAAATGACAGTCAGCAATTTATTGAGAACAAAAGCACATTAACAGAAACTTTATAGAATGCTTTTCAAAGTTCATTCATAATCAATAAATGGTTTATTAAATCATGCTTTTGATTGCACAGTTCTTTGATTGTACAGTTAGCAGTCCATTTTTTTATTTTAAGAAGATATTCAGCTTATTGATTGTACAAAGATCTGTTTTAATTCATAAGAATTGATAAGCAATGCATTGGCATTGAAGTAAGTTATTCAGTTACACAGCTGAATGATTTTTTTTAGATATTTATAAATGATTATAAAGCAATGGTTTTTATTGTTTATCTTATTTGAAAATTCTTTTGTCAAAATGTGTGTTTCCATAATCATTTTACTCCGAATATTACTTATTACATAAAAATTATCAGCTTGATTTGCAAATTACGTTTGTGATACCTTTCTAATAAATTCTTTTCGTATGTGATTCCCATAATCACCATCTTCCATGTATTCTTGTCCATGTAAAAATATAGAAACAAGAGGAGTCGAAATTCGATATGTAAGCAGTAAATAAATAAAAAACGTTTAAAACATTTTTGACAAATCATTTTTAGAGGAGCTAAGATTCAATATATGAAAAACAATTTATTACTGGAAAAAAACAAGAACATGTTTTTGGCAATTACTTTTCTCTTCTTGATATCACAGTATATGATGTTTTTAATCCCTCTCCTCTTTTTAATGATTCACTGACTTTGGAGGGAATTTTTTTTCCCTTCTCCTCCCTGTGACTTCCACAAAAATATAGTTTTACTTCTATTAGAACAAATATTGTATAATTTAGTATAGCATTATGGAAGATACGAATTTCAAATACTGTCGTCATTCATATGTTGCACTTAGCCCAAGGAAATTTTAAGGACATCATAACGTTACAAAAGTAAATTTCAAACGTTACATGAATTTTTTTTGTCTTGTTTTTAACTGCAATGAAATTTTTTCGATTTTTTTTTATAAAATTAAAATTTTTCATCCTTAATTTTACTTTTTATTTCCTAATTAACTTAATTTATGTTTTATAGCACTTATTATGGAGAAACTTCAAACTGAAAGTGAATAGTGATATTTAACAATAAGTAATGTACTTCAGCTCCAAAGATAAAATAGAGAAATATAATACTCACATTTTTCTCCAGATGTAGCGGAAAATATTAGGCATGATAGCTTTTTGAAACTTTTTGAAGTTGGTAATCGTAACTACGTCGCAAGAAGGTTTTGAGGAAATGGAAGGATTATATTGTTAAAATGACAGACGATGATATGCCTCATTGTTGTTTGTCTCGTTGGGAAATTATTTTAAAAATTAATAGGTTTCGATTGTTATCATACACTTGGAATTTGTAAATGCAACAATACTTCTTTTTTATTATTTAGTCAAAATTTAAACAAAGTTTATTTGGTACTCGTCATGAAATAAAAGATGCTTTTGATGTTACTATAATTTTATTATATTTTACCCTTACTTTTCACAAATTTCACTTTATCTTTAAGAGAAATTATTTTAATATTAAAAAAAATTATTAGTTTTGAAAATTCAACAGAAGAGCTAACTTGACCCAAATACACCGAAGAGCCATTACATTATGACCACCCCGCTAATAAAATGTAGGACCATCTTTAGCCCTCAAAACAGCTAGCACCTGCCGTGGCATTGATTCCACAAGGTGCTGCTATTTAGTCTGAGGTATCTAGTACCAAGCGCTCACCAACTGGTCCTGAAATTCCCCCACATTGCGAGGGGGTAGCGTGGCAGCACGAATTTGGTTCTCCAAGTAGGACCACAAATGCTCAATTGGATTAAGGTCAGGTGAATTTGGGGGCCAAGACATGACTTGAAAGTCACTGGAATGTTCCTCGACGATTCGATCCTTATGACATGGTGCATTATCCTGTTGGTAAACACCATCCCCCGCAGGAAAAACTGTTGCCATAAATGGGTAAACCTGGTCTGCAACTATGTTCAAGTAGCTTACAGACGTCATGAATTGTTCTATGAGGATTATGGGTCCTAATGTGCCCCCTGAAAACATTGTTCCTGGGCGAGAAATTATGAAAACCTTGGCGAGTCCATTATTACAGATAGAGGGTGGTCATAATGTAATGGCTCTTCGCTGTATTTTAATATATATTCAATGAAATTAATGATATCGAAGTCTTATTTTATAATCATGTTATAAGCCGTTTAAGGAAATGATTTTATCATGTAGCACTTACAAGGGAACACACTGCGGTGTTCAGGGAGCGCTTGCCGAACAATTTGCTTTATGAAATTCAATCAAATTTCTTGCTAGGTAACTAAGGAAATATTAGTAAAATTTTTCTTTTCTATAATATCAGATTTTTCCCATATCTGTGAAGCAATGGTCTTACCTGAAAAAAGAGCTAAATGCAGCAGGAATCGCTCTTATTTTACATTTAATTATGCTTGTTAAATAAATATTATCGAGTTAATTAAATACAGTGCCGTATCGCACATCAAATTTATTGAAGTTTATTGAAATTTATTGAATCATTCTCGTCTGCGTCTTTTACTTAACTTAGATTTATAATTTGTTTAAGTATTTTATTGTAACCATGTTATATTTTTGTTTTGTGTACCTGGCAACTTCGATGCATAATTAGCTTGTTTATGTTTGTTAAGTAAGAAATATAGTGAAAGAATTTAAATCTTCATGAAAAAATATAGAATGCGTCACTAAAGAGATTTGAGGTAAAAATATACTTGAGGGTGTCCCTTGGCGAAATTGGCGACTTTTGCTTGGCGCCATTCCTGTTTGCGCGCAACACCGTGGTAACAGGAATGGCGGCGAAAACATAATGATATTTCAATAAAACATTCCAAAAATTTCAACAAAACCTCGACCAAAACTTTATAAAATTGCAATGAACCTGTGGCGTAACTACTATTATAAATATTGAATACCAATTCACTAGTATATAAGACATGCTAACTTGACACTAGTATATAAGACATGTTAATAAGACATGTACCTTTTGATAGATGATGGTTGACATAGTCGATTATCAAATTCTCTCAAACCCAATGTAAGCAAAATCATTAAACCCAATAAAATGCATTTTGAATCGAATCAAAAATTAATGGAGTAAGCAAGCACAGGAAGAAAAGGAAAAAAACAACTCACTTCTTCATTAAGCTTGAATATTCTCAGGCACAGAATACTCGAATAGCAGTTAGATACTGTCTAAATTTATCATGAATAGAATCTGTGTACCTCCATCGCCACATGAAGTCCCTTTTTATGACTGCCCACATACCTTCGATCTTATTGACCAGAAGCAAAAGCAACCTTACCAGCCGGTATCCAACGTAGAACTAACGGACTTCTGAAATTATATATACTGCTGAACATTTAAAAACAACGCTAAAATATAAACCAATCAACATCACGGTTGGGTTTCAACATCACCCAGCTTGGCTACCAACCGCGATCACAATTTGGCGAGAATCAAGGGGCACCCTCAAATATAGTCTACCCAGATTTGATACTTGCCAGGTTTGTATCACTCAAAATAGAATGAAAAGAAATTTGCAACGTAACAAAACGTAAGGTAAACAAATCTCGCGTTTCAACAACAAATAAAGATGGAGATAAAGCCCCTGAATTGGACAGGCCGACTTATAATTCATTTCGGAGCAGAAACTTTTCCTCTAATAATGAAGAGCTACAAGATTTGGTAACTTATCGCTACAAACGACTTTAACCTCAGCTATAGGATAATCAGTAAAGAAAAGCGTGCATCGAATAACATTGTTTTTCAGAAACTTTTTTTCTTTTTGTGCTTATACACATTCACTGCACATTTTTCTACCGATTTAAAGTTTTAAATAAAAAAAAACTGTGCATGTGTTATATTCTAATTACATAAATTTTTTTAATAAATTATTTCAAAGTAAATTTGGTACTAAATTTTATTATTTTAGTTAGATATGGGTTTATTAAATTTCTTTTCAGATTTTTTTAAAAAAAAATTAAAATGGAAACATATTTTGATCTGAAACATTTTTAAGTATGTTTTTATATTCAAATTAATTAAATTTTTCAAGCAATATTCTAAACGTAATTGTCTACAATCATGAGAAGCAATAAATTAGTACAGGAAATTAGAAGCAATAAATAGTATAAATAAAACATAGTATAGGAGCCTTAGATCTAGATACCGTGCACTACGTTACTTGCAAATATCCCATTCCAAAATATAAGAATGAAATTTCAAATAAAAACAATCTTTTTATTTCCAATGAGCTGCACAAGTGCAGATATGAGCAGACCTTGTGCGTTCTCCAGAAGTGGTATCCACTCTTTCAGGACCACCACAATGGGTGAGATACCGTTGGCCATGTTAATTTGGACGTCTAGTTTCTGCCACACTAGATGGCAGCACCGAGACTCTTATTTGGATGCTAAAGTGCACTAAGAATTTTAATTTTGCCGGAAACGCCAAGAACCAATAAGGCACTCCAGGGATCTTTCACATGCCGCATAATAATACGACATGGCCGCTGAGGATTTTCTGCATCCCGAAAATCCAGTGTCTGGGCCGGGGATCGAACCCCCAAAAATAATCTTAGAGTTCATAAATAATAATAAAAGCAATTTTAAAATGGAGAAATCGCGCTAGACGTCATGTCGCTTCAAAACAAAAACAATGGCTGTTGCCAAATTGTCTGATTCACTGTTGCAACTTCTATTTATAATAATTCTGTTAGGATTTAGTACTCTTTTTTGTAATTTTATTTAAGCCTTCTGAAATTATAAGAAATCAAGAGGACAAATCATACAACCAGCTAAAGGAAGGGATTCTTCACAACAATAACAAAATCGTCATCTCATGTACTTTTGGAGAAAAAGTAATACTTATCATCGACAATGAAGTAAGTAGTTATATCTTATTATGCAAATTGACAATTAAATTCGCACTAAAAATAAATTTACCGAGATTCCGACAACTGAATTTATAGCAAATCCCAAAAATAAAACTTTACAAAAATACCAGAGATACTGAACACTTTTTTAGAACCCTATTCACATTTATGCAAATAGGAATGAGGATTTGTCCCGCAGTGGTTAAGATATGGTTCCCAACAGATAACCGAAGTCAAGCATCACTGACTGCGGTCAGTGTGCGGGTGGCTGATCACTTGGATCAGTCTGAGTAGGGACCGAGGGTGTGCGGTATTGGTCCTCGTTAAACTGTTCTACCGTAAAGTGTTCGACTTCGTGTGTAGGTTGTCGGGCTATCGAAGCGGGGGTGCCATCCCCTCTGCAGAGGATCAAAATTGTGATGGCATGTCTTCGGATCATCCTCAGGGATGTTTCCTAGACCGTCGCCAATAGCCCATTGTGCAGCTCTAGTGCGACGCAAATGAACTACTACTACTACTACAGGAATGAAGAATCAAGTTATTTTTAAAGAAACCTATTATAAAAAGTTATTATCATTAGAAAACCATTAACTTAATCATGAACTTTTCCTTGTTTTTTATTTAACTTTTCATTTGGACTGATTTTTCATTATTTTATTTTTATTTTTTCAGAACTCAAGCTTGCAAGCAATGGATCAGAATCTTGAAAAACTCATAAATAAGTCATGTACATTGCTTTCGATTTCCTCGTAAAATGGCCATTGCACATTGATCTCTGAAATGCATGTAAATAATGAATTAAATATATCGTTGGACAATCTTCAACGCTTCTACGAATTTGATCCCCTGCCTAAGGAGATTTCTATAATCAATCTCCAGTTTCACAAAAATAATTGATTCACGTCTTCACAAATTGACCACCTATGTGGATGAAATTGGTGCATAACATGAGATCAACTGGCGCAGGTTTGACTTGATTTAGCTTTACAAAACGTATCAAGTGCATTAAGAAAACGGATAAGATCTTTATTTTTTATGAATTCTTTTGAAATTTTCCCTGTTATCGTAAATGATTGAAATCAAGAGGATGTCGATTTTCACCGGTGAATGTCAAGAATCACATACTCGCTTTGGTGAATGTCCAAAATATTTGTTATATCCTATTTGATATTAATTTATTCGTTGATATTATTATTTTTATTCGATAGTTAAATATTTTCTGAGGATAGATTACGAAAAATATCAGTGTTAAGAGTACCGATTAAATGCATGACGGATAGTGATACTTTTAACTTTAAAAGAACATGAGTGTAGGGTATACCGGACACCGAGTAGGGTATACCGGACACCAAGTACACCGGGCAGTGGTACTTAAATAGACCTTGTACTCATATATATTTCGGAGCCTCGGTAGCGCAGTAGGCAGCGCTTTAGACTCATATATATTTCGGACATTTAACAAAGCGAACATGTGATTGTCAACATTCACCGGTTACAGTGCTGGTAGAAGTCAACAACCGCCAATTCCAGTCATTCAAAGTGACATTGCACTAGTATTGTACTAGTAAGTAAGTTTCTGAACTGTATATAATTATGCTTTATGAGTATTTAATAATAAAGTTATTCTCGATCTTTTCTTTTTTGTCTAGGCACACTTTTAACGATTTTGACATTAGACGGCACACAAAGAAAAAAATAATAAGTTTAAGAGTTATTGACTTGCTTTACATACTTTTTAATTTAGTTGTTTATTTACCTCTTTTTTGCTTTTCATTAATTGTCAGCTTGTTTTTTATATTTATTAATTTTTAGTTTTTTTTTTTTTTACATTAATTATTATTTTTGTGACTCCTTGTTAACTTGCGTTTTTGCTAATTATTAATTGTTAGCTTGTTTTTTTAGTAATCCTTTGCTAATTTGTCTTGAAACTATTAATTGCATAGATTATTTTAATTGATAGCTTTTATTTCCCTTTGTAGGTTAATGTTTAGCTTGTTTTTTTTTGTTAATTTATAATTTTAATAGTCATTAAATTTCCTACTTATTTTAACATTTTAAGATTGTCGCCGACAAAGATGTAAAGCCATGGAAAAATTATAAAAATTATAAAAAGTATATATATATATATATTCACACACTTTTCTTTCNTAATTAATAATTTTAAGTTATAAAATCTCCAACCTATTTTAAAATTGTCAGAGACATTGCCGATATAGAATTTTATGCCGTTAAAGATTGGAAATGTTATAAAATATATATATATATATATATATACTTTTCTTTAATTTAAGCTTTACTGGTAATAAAAAAAGCATAATAATTTTTACTATATCATTTCTAAAATTTGGCGGCACACAAAAGTGCCGCAGTAAAGTGGTTGATAATCACTCTAATAATGAAAACTTGCTGTTTAAGTTTTTAACACGTTGTGGAATATTAATTAAAATTGTGTTTACATTAAAACACTCAATCGAGATAATTTTTTCTCATAATCCACCTTATAATGTTTATTAAATTGTACGAAAGAAAAAAAATTGCGTCCTTCGGAAGGGAAAAAAGATATTTTAATTTAAAATTTGTTTTTTGTCTCCATCAATGTTTTTTGAGTCTACTTAATCAATTATGAAGAATTTTCACGAGCTCCTAAAACTGTAAAAAATGTATATAGACACACACTTTCTTTAAACTTTCAATATAGACATTTTAATTAATTACTGAGCGTTTATAATCACGCATTAAATGACAAAAACAGGTTTAATCACTTCGTCAAACTTTCGGTGACCACTGTCGGTGTCTAAATGGAGCACCGAATCGACACCGAAAGTGGTCAACTTAACCGGCTTTACTTTAATTACGCTTTACAAAGTAAATCACGTGCATTATAAGCTCAAATAGCATCTTTTATTTTCGAGTTTCATTTATATTTTATTGCTTCGTGCATTTAGTGAAAATTTAAAGAAATGACAACTCGAACCTTATCTCGAATATTTAAATTTAATTTGTTTAATGACACTGAAAAATTCGTGGTGTAATATCTCATCGAATATCATGTTGGAACAACCTATATACATTGCGTGAAGGAAGATTTTATTCTGGGTTAACATCAAATAGAGCGTTCATATAAGATTTCAAGGGGGAAATTTAAATCTAAACACTTAAAATTCAATAATTTTACGCTGATCTCTAACGCTTTCAGTCCATACAAAAATTGTGCTCACTTTTGAAAACACTAATGTTGGCGTGCTTTGACTATAAAAATTCAAGAAAAGCTAAGTAGACTATTGCCAGTAGTTTGTTGACAATCTGGAATCAGCTGGTAAGAGTTTGATTTTGCTTTCGATGTTTATATCGTCAACAGAAATAAAAATTCACCGTTAAATATATATGTATGTTTTTAACTGTGTTATAGGGACAATTATATTTTAATTTTTTTGATATATTTTCATTTTTTTATGTATTTTTATTTTTTTAATATATTTTAATTTTTTAAATATATTTTCATTTTTTTATATATTTTAATTTTTTTAAAGACAATTATATTTTAATTTTGGGGAGAACTGTAGTAACTGAATTTATAATGTATAATTTCTACCCACTTCCATTCTGTTAAGCCTAGTTCAAATTTGTCTTAATATTCTCTTCGTTCTTCACGTCTGTTTAATTTAAAGACTAATTTTATTTTAAGAATCAGTATATATATATATGTATCATAATTAATGATTCTTACTTTATATTGTATCATAAAAATAAATTTACAGACAATTATGTTTATCGTTGTATTTTTAATTATATATTTTAGTCTTATTGAATAAACAAAATGGTGGCAGCTAGTTTACACAAAGTAGTGTAAAAGAACATTAATGTAGTGAAACACATAGATTCAAGAGTTTATGGCATTTCACTGTACCACTTTGGTGTAAGGTATGATAGTTTCCACCATTTTTGGCGTTGAGATTCACTAATTTGTTCTACAGTATATATTTGTAATCAAATAATTTCGGCTTGATACGCAATTTCCAACATTTTGAAGTTTTTACATTGGTTGTCCTGGTATTAAGTAGTTTGTTATCGGACTACGTTAACATAATCTACGCACGTACAAATCTAATAAATTAATGACCATTTCGTGTTTTACATTAGAGGTAAACATCATGCAGTGTTACAGTCAGTAAACGAAATTGTGCTAACGAAATTTGCTTAAAACTGTCATTAGCGGTTCTAATAAAAGTTATTAATCTAGATATAATCGTTTCTTATTCTTCTAGATAGAAAGATTTGTGTTTTCTATAATTATATTTCTGTTATTTTTATATTTTCAATTTTGAGTATAGGTGAAAATTGAAAGTTGTTTGTCAAATGAAAATAGAAATAAAAAATCCTATGATGTTTGTTCCTTTTTTTTGTTCTTAATTGTGTAGGGGAGAGTGGGGTCAATTGTAACAGGGTACGATTGTAACAGAGCAAAAATTTCGAGTGTCGGGTTCTAGATTTGGTTCCTAGGTGGCGCACAAGGTGTATTTAATAAATCTACATGTACACCCCTGATGGCAACCATTTTTATGTACTTTTGAAAGAGTTACATCACAAAAGATATTTTCACGCCACGCAAGTACTTTTTTTGGTATTAGAATATTATATTGTAACAAAGTAATTTTGTTTAAACAAATAAAAATTAGTAACCGAATATGTAAGTGGACACTTTAATTAACATTTCAATAAAAAAAAAGATTAGTTTTGCTAATTAACTAGCATTGTTTTTAACAAATGAAGCTGAAATAGCGTCTTGGGGACAATTGTAACAATAAGTAAAGGGACGATTGTAACAGCTGAAAATAAATAATCTTATGTTTACAAACCATTACTTAACTCTTTAAGAACCACCAATAGTTTCCTATATCATTTATATTATGTTGCATGTGCATTATTTTATTTGTCACCTTTCACAGCATAAATTAAAATTTTTAACCCCTTAAAGTTAAAAGTTTAACCCTTTAGGTTTCTGCTCATTATTATTTTTACTCCTAAAATATCACTACTATTTTGATCAATAAAAAAATATATCACAACTATGATAATATGTATAATTAACTATGTTTTAGTTGAATTTATGAACTGTTACAATTGACCCCGTAAGTGGGGACAATTGTAACAACTGCACGACTGTCAAAAATTGCTAATAACTAATATAATAATATTTAAAATCAGGTATTTATTTTTTTTTCTAGTAGAGGATAGTCTACTTTTCGTCTGTCAATTAATACTAATAATATATTGGATTTTTTGTTAGTTAAAAATAGTTAAGTAAAAAATGTTACAATTGACCCCACTCTCCCCTACTATAAGGAAATCTGCTATAAACAAAGAAAAAAGTCATTATGATTATTAATTATTATTACTAAGCATTTACTTAGTAATAATAAGAGAAAACATTTATTCGTATTTATTCTTTTATACGAAAAAAAAATGCTCAAAACTACCAGCTTATGATAAAATTTTCCGTGCCTCTAGCTCTATCGGAACACCAAAAAGCTTGGTAATTTTTACAGCTGAGCTTTGATAATAATTTTAGTAAAAAGAACAATAAAATAATGCTTTATGTAATAAAATTTGGTAAATGAGATAAAGTTAGGTAATTTTATCATGATACCTAAGAACATGGCTTAAGAACTCTTTATTCGGTAAAATTTACTTTTCAGTTTTGTATTTTTTTTTCTATTTGTGTGGTAATAAGAACTATAATTTTGAAAGACAGAATTTCCGGTAAACCATTACCATATGAGCTGAAAAATGACCAAATGAATAATTTAAATACCATATATTTTGGTTTCCTTTACCCAAACTATGTTGTAGTTTTTTCTCACTAGAAGGTCCATTAGATTTATGCCTATTTTTAATAGAGAAATAAACTCTAAATCTCATAAGGAATCAATATTAGATTCGAATTTTAAAACTTTAATTAATCATGTGTAATACTGAGCCTAACCAGTTATTTAAATCAGTTACAAACAGCAGTTCTATTTCTAATTTCTTCATCACTTCCATACTCTCAACATATTAATCGAAATTTCCAAAACTAAAGGGACTGGGTAATTAGTGTAATTTTATTTAGCAATCTTTCGTGTACAAGGTTTTCTAGAAATGCAATCCTTAAAGCATATTTCTTTTAAAAAAATTTTTATCTATTTGCAATTAATGTATATTATTCTTGGCAATAAGACGCTATTTCGACTGTGGTGATAATTTTCGAAATCACGCCAAACGTGAAACATATACTAGAATTTTACGAAAGTATATACATTGTGGCTCGAAAGAAAAAATTTATTCACCATCTATCTTTTAAAAAAAAGAAAGAAAAGAAAAACACCAACCGGAAGTTTTGAAGTCGGTGAAATCGTAAAATAGCCCACCTCTTGGCGACTTTTTGAAATGTCGCCAAGTTGGTAATTATTATTGGGATCAACGTTGCTTTTTGATTATTGAAAAAAACAATTTAAATTATTTTCAACCAGTACCTCACAGAAAAAGATTAAAAAAGGAAGTAATAACGGTAATAAATGGAATAACGGTTAAAAAATGAAATAGTAACAATGAATTTAACAGCGAAAAAATAAACTCTTTTACCTCTTTTTTAACGAA